TGAAGTATACGCATCAGTAAAACTGAATACTCACTGTCATTCTTGTGCTGTTCTTCAGCTCCCGCAGCAGCTACAACTATTGGATCAAAATTTTCTTAGCAAAACACAGCTCAAAAGAGAGAGAGAAGGATTACCGGGAAACTTGGTACAAAAATGACTTATGACCAGACAATTGAGAATGACCCGAGAAGCTGTCATGAATGGGAACTATTGCAGGTCACATGGCACTGCCGGTCATAACTAGTGAACAGGGGCGACCCACCTATGTTCAAGCAATTAATTCTCTCATCAAAACCATGTCGTTTAGAAAGAAAAAAGGAAACCCCTCCGTGTGTCCGGTTGCGCTGAACTGGCTTCATCCTTCTGGGCTTCGATTTCCAAATTTCAGCCCTCTGCTGCTCTACACCGCAACGTCGAGTCAGTCCAGTCCTCCGTCTTCCAGAGCTTCCGTCTTCCAGAGCTTCCGCAGCTTTTGTCAGCTCAGTTCAGAATAACTTTTGAATTTATGGAGAACCTACCGGTGCCGATAATTCTTACCCTGCCGGTGCCGATAATTCTTATTGAAATTCTTGCGTCAATCTATTTCTCTTTCAATTTCAGTTGTCCATCAAATTAAATCTCAAATGTCACCCTTAACTCATTGCATCATTTTTAAGTTAAAGGGTGTATATGCAATTCTTTAAGTTCAGAGATCTGATTGACAATTCTTCAAGGCTATATATGAACAAAGTGTTATATTAACACATGAGTTACTGCTCTTATCAGGTTGACCTTTTAGGATGGAAACTTGTGTCTTAACATGGTATCAGAGCCAAATCGATCCATGGTGTGGGACTCCTTATGAAGAATGATGACACGATTATAAAATGGCCGGATAAAAAAACCGGATCGATGAAAAAAATGAATGATGACACGATATAGACGAAGTGTTTGGTCGTAAGGAGGGGTTTTGAATGTCCCACACCGGAAACGTTTGGATGAACAAAGTGTTATATTAACACATGAGCTAGTACTTTTCTTATCAGACTGACCTTTTAGGTGGAACCCGTGTCTTGACAAGTGCACAACTTTGTCGTTGATTGATCAGGTATTTACTTTTTTGCAAGGGTAATCGGTATTGAGGCCGTTTGGCAGCACCTTTTTTCGGCTTATCAGGCTTATCAGTCGACTTTTTCACCAAACACGTAACTTTTACTTTCGCGCGCTGAGTTGTGTAATAAGCAGAAAAAGTAAGGTTGGAGTTACTTTTCTGGCTATTTTGGCTGAAGTTACTGTAGATGACCATTTTAGTTATTTTTGCATATAATTTTTTCTTTATTTTATTAATAAAATATATTTTAAAAATAATTATTTCTTAAATCACCAGAATCAGCTAATGCAGCCACTTCAGCCAGAACTTTAGAAATTTCAGCAGAATCAGCCAAAACAGTCGATTTTCGTGCTACCAAACGGGCTCATAAGTTATACAACTTCCTATTAGTATTAACGGTATTAAGAAAATTTAAAGGGTAATCGGCGTTTGGAAATTGAAACTCTCCTACCAGGTTCGTACTCTTCAGCAGTTCATGTTATCGGTGGCTCCTCATTTTGTAGATATATGATATACAACTTCCTATTTATTAATTGAGATTAATGGTATTATCGTTATTTTATCAGATTTCAGATTTGTTTTTTGCAAGGAGTTCAGATTTTAGAATAGTTTAAAATAGACTTTGATTAATTGATCATATTACAGTGTTGAACTATATTTTCGAAATTAATTCATAATTCCATATCACCGATTTCAAATTATTTTTTAGATTTCAGATTTCAGTCAAGTAATATTTAGCTTTTAGATTTAATCACACTTAATATGAGACTACGACGCGAGTAGCTAGTGTTAGATTTCAATTTACTTTTAAATTCATCTATAAGGTTTCATAATACTATAATATTTTATATTTCAGGCATTTGGATTCACTTTTATTGATTATTTGAGTTTTCAAAGATCTCTTAAATTTCAGATTTCAGCATTTAGATTACGTATAACTTTCTCATCCAAATTTCAATTTCAGTTTACTTTCAAATTTCTGTACTAAGCTTCGTATTACTATTAAGTTTCAACATTTAGGTTCATTTGCATTGTGAATTTCAGTTTTCAAATTACTGTAAAGTTTCATATTTCAACATTTAGATTACTGTTAACTTTCTTATTTACAAACAAACACACATAATACAATAAGAATTGATCTTAATACTATCCATAATACAATATGATTTAATCTAGCTAATCATTTATTACTATCCATTTGTTCAACTTCTGTTAAATCATTTGTAGTCTTCAACTTCTACCATATACATTTGTTATAACAGCCCACAAATTATGAATGCATTTTCAATTTATGATTTGATTTTTATTTGCAAAAAATCATTTTCAAAACTAAATTTTCACCTTACATTAATAATAATGTTTTTTTTACAAATTAGATAGATAAAACATGGGTAGGTCTACCATCACAAGCTAGTGTGGAATACATTAATGGGGTCAACCAATTTCTAGATTTTGCTTTCGCTAGATCTGCTGAAAATGAGAATATTCGATGTCCTTGAATTAGATGTGTCAACACACATAGTGTCCAGGGATATAGCATTCGATCACTTAATATGTGATGGCTTCCTGGAGGGATATACTAGATGGGCTTTTCACGGTGAGGTGTTCGAGGAAACTACTTCTTCCACAAATATCGAGATAGAAAATGTGCTAGGTGATGAGATACACGAGTTGTTGCATGATATGATTCCCAACATTGAAATGAATGTTGACTTTGAAGGAGTAAATTCTAGAAATGATGGTGACAACCATTCTTCTGGTTACAAAATTGATAGTGACAAGTTTTACACTTTACTCAAAGATGCAGATGTGGAGTTATACCCAAATTGCAAGCAATTTTCAAAGTTATCATTTGTCATCCATTTGTTTCACATTAAGTGTTTTAATGGATGGTCTAATAACTCCATGAATATGTTGTTGAAGATTCTAAAACTTGGTCTTCCAGAAGGAAGTATGTTGCCATAATCCTATTGTGAAATGAGAAAGATGATTAGTGCTTTGAACTTGGGATATGAAAAAATCCATGCATGTCCCAATAATTGCATTTTGTACTGGAAGGATAAGACAAAATTTGCCATAAGTGTGGTGCTTCTAGGTGTAAAGAAGGTGTAATTGAGGGTGAAGATACTTTTGTGAAAAGGAAGAAAAAAGCTGCAAAAAAATTGCGGTGGTTTTCTTTGATTTCGAGACTCCAAATGTTGTTTATGTCATCTAAAACAACACTTTCAATGAGATGGCATGAAGAGGAACGTACTAGAGATGGACGAAAAAGGCATCCTGGAGATTCTATCGCTTGGAAACACCTTGATTCTCTCTACCCACAATTCGCTTCTGATGCACGTAATGTTTGTCTGGGAGTGGCTTCTGATGGTTTTAATCCCTTCAAATCCATTGATATAAACCATAACACTTGGCCTGTTGTACTCATTCCTTATAACCTTCCTTCATGAATGTGCATGAGACACTCCAATTTCATAATATCTTTACTTATTCTTGGTCCAAAAAGCCCCGGGAATGATTTGGATGTGTTAATGCAACCTTTAATTGATGAATTGCAAGAGCTTTGGCAAGTTGGTGTGGAGACATATGATGTGTCTCTGAAACAAAAGTTTAACATGCGTGGAGCTTTGCTTTGGACTGTTAATGACTTTCCAGCGTATGCTATGTTGTCTGGATGGGTACAAAGGGAAAGTATGCATGTCCTTGTTGTGGATATGATACTAAATCTAAGTGGTTAAAAATGGCGGAAAGTTTTGCTACATGGGACACCATAGGTGGTTGGAAAGTAACCATCACTTTCGGAAGGATAAACACTCCTTTGATGGGAATTCTGAGTATAGAGCATCACCCTTACCACCATCAGACAATAAAGTTTTGAGACAATTAAAAGACTTGGATGTTGATGTAGGTGGACCATGGAAGAAGAAAAGTTGTTTATTCACATTACCATACTGGAATGATCTTCTTATATGCCACAACCTCGATGTGACGCACATTGAGAAAAATGTGTGTGATAACATTTTTGGTACATTAATAGGGCAAGACAATTATAAGGCACGCCTTGATCTAGTGGACATGGGTATAAGAAGCATTCTTCACCCAAAAACTCGGCCCAGAGGGGATACAAAGTATTAACCTCAAGCATCTTATGAAATGACTATGGGTGGAAAAAATGCTTTCTTGAAGATTCTCAAGGAAATGAGGACTCGAAATGAATACTCTTGCAATATCTCTCGTTGTGTGCAGATTAATTGTCATATTTTAATGCAAGAGTTTCTTCCAATGGCAATACGGTGGTGCTTACCGGAAAAAGTGTGTTCTATTCTCATTGACTTGTGTAACTTTTTCCAATTCATTTCTTGAAAACTTTTAGAACAAGACACCCTTGAAGTAATGGAGTCTCGCATTGCTTTGATCCTTTGTGAAACGGTTTCTCCATTGTTAATAAAATATAAAAACTTTCAGTCTTATGTGGGTAATAGAGCTTATCCAGAGGGTTCTATTGCTGAAGGGTTTTTGGCAAATGAATGTTTAATTTTTTGCTCAAGATACTTGGAGGGGGTTGAAACAAGTTTCAATCCATCTCGTCAGAATGATGAAGGCGAATTCTCATTCGATGGAGATGTATCAATTTTTCATCATGTTGCAAGACCACTTGGAACAACAAAAAACAAAGGATTCAATGTTAACAAGCAAAAGAGATTATCACGTGTTGAACTTGACAAGCTATCTTTGACGCAAGCACATAGATATGTGTTTTTTAATCATGAAACGGTTTCTCCATTTTTAATGTATGAACTTGAAACCTTAATACAATATTAGCGTTTTTATATTTTATTTCTAAGTATGAGGATTTTTTTATAGAAAAAATGTTGAACATCTTCGGAGACAACATCGTTCTCCTCGTCTTCTCATGAGTTGCAAAAGTTGCATAGTGAAACTTTTCATATATGGTTTCATGACCATGTAAGTGAAATGTTACTTAATAATTATGACGTGCAAAAATTCATAAGCATTTAAGTACTTGACTTATACAGATTATGAAATTATGTAGGTCGCGAATTCAGAAAACCAAGGAGACGCACTTGTCACAGATGAACTTAGATTTCTTGCACGTGGTCCTCTTGATAAGGCAAGTAGATTCAATGGTTATGTTGTAAATGGACTCCAGTTCCACACTAAAGCATGCGAGAAATGGTTAAAAACTCAAAATAGTGGGATTGTAGTAACCTCTAGATTGACAAGTTATGCAAGTTCAAGAGATGCAAGACCCATTGAAGGAGAGGTCAATTATTATGGGGCATTAACTGACATCATTCAGTTGAACTATTCTGGAAAATTTAAGGTTGTATTGTTTAAATGTGATTGAGTTGATCTAAACAAAGGTTGCAAAAGAGATAAATTTAGTTTTAGACTAGTCAATTTTTCACACCTTACGCATACTGGAAAAAGTTTGGTTGATGATCCTTTTATATTTGCTACACAAGCAAAAAAGGTTTACTATGTGGAGGATGATAGAGATGACGGGTGGCTCTTGCCAAACATGCAAAGCTAAGGGACACTTTTGATATGGGTGATGAATTATCATGTGGAAGTAGAGGTGGAAGAAACAACTCCCAAAATCCAAATCTTGAAAATGATGATCCAAGTAATCCTTCACTTTGGATTGGAGATGAGTATAATGAGGGAGTGGAAGTGACACCAAAGATGGAAAATGAGCTTGTGGAAGAGGATCCATTGTTGATGAATATTTTGATGAGGATATGTTTTAACATATATTTAAATATTTTGTTTTTGTATATGTTTAATAATAATAATAATACTTTGAAGTGAAGTTTGTTACAAATAAATTATTGATTCCTAGTGTTCTCTTTCTCCATCTCATTAATAAGGTAAATACATGGACTTAACATCTAACACACACACACAGATACACACGCACGCACGCACGCACACACACACACACACACACACACATATAAAGAGCTACATGTTACTAATTTATATACTTGTCAAATTCATTTTATAAGGTTGGAAATGACACACAAACGGCTAAGAACCACCAAGACAGTACGTGCCTCAAGTTGTCAATCGAATTCAGGGCCTCCACAACACATTCAAAATAAGGAACAATCAATTTCTCACTTCCAAAATAAGGAACAACCAGTTTCATCACTGAATAATGTTCATCCTCTCAATGAAGAAGTGGAGCAAGTCACCGGTATATTCTCTAACTTATTTGGGGCAACATTTTAGAATGCAATCAAACCAAAATAGTTTAACTGAGATATCAGTTAGCTATACATGTTATTTTTAATTGATTGAACTTTTATATTTTGGCTAAATCTATAGAGTTTACCAATTTTGACTAAATTAATAAAAGACAACAATTTAACATAGTATTATTGAACTTGTGCACTGCACCAGAGCATATAAAAACTTCAAAACAAAACAAAATGCTTCTTCATCTCTCCTTTTCCCAATATCTCTGATTAATCATTGATGTGCATTTTTATGGAACTCGCTCAAACTATGCAGTTATATTCCTAATATGTGTGTTTTGAAGAATTTTGAACTGAAGGTCAACCTTGACAATTTATCACATTTATGAACACATTTTAAGAAAATGTTAACCCTGTCCATTTAGTTAATGGTAGACACATTGCATGACTACCCTCAAATGTGACTATCAACACAAATACTACACGGTTGGATAAAAAATGCGATATCAATGTTTAGAGTTCCTTTCTATGTACTTACACTTGAGTATAAAAATAGAGTAGGGTACATCATATGTTCTTCATTCTCATTACTATTTGTATGATTTATTTCAGTCATGTGGTCTTACATTTTATTTTATTTAGTTCCACCAAAGGCTAAAAAGCTTCAAGGTTACACACGTATAGCTGAGATATGGGATTTGAACAAAGAGGAACAAGTGATAGTTGACGTGAATGCTCACCATATACCAATAGGTGATTCAGCTGCAAAGCTAACAAGATTCATTGGTACCATGGTTAGAATGTTTGATTTTGCTCCCTTGAATTACACAACTTGGTCTCAACTTCCAGTTAGAAAGAAGGAAGAAATGTGGGTGACTGTGAAGGTATATAAAACAATAATGTTTTATATTTGGAGCTTAAATTATAAACTAACTGCCTTTCTTGTGCTCTTAAAGTCTAGGAGAAGTTTCAATTTAAAACATTGGACGGAAAAGTGGTTATAGATGGAGAGCCATTTAAATGTATATAAGTGTGGGCACTTGGCAACATGAATGCTAAGTGGAGGTACTGGAAATGGAAGAAAATGATTTATGTGAGTATATCAACTTACTTTATTCTTGTTGAAATTTGTTTGAACTGTTTGTATTTCGTATTGTGACACTGTTAACATGCTAATATTCCTGCAGAAATGTCCCCTTTGATCAAGGGACATTCCAGTTCTTGCACAAAAATTGTTTGAGCAGGTAATGTTGACATTGTTTACTAAACTATCAATGTTAAGACTTTTCTGTTACAGAATAAAATTTTAGTCACATGAGAATCACAATATTGATGCTAAAACCTATAGACTATTCACTGATCAGTGATCAACTTTAGTTAAACAACAATGAAGGTGGGCAGGGTTCATCAATTTGTTGTGGGTCTATTAAATTTGCTTTTCACCATTATTTAGAAAGATGACATGATTGTCAGACTAAAATGGCTTACTATGTTGAAATTGTGGCAGGAACTACATAATGTACTGAGTTATCTACAAGTCAAACTTTGTTGTCAAACTCTGTTACATCATTAAAAATGATGTAACTGTATTTATCATTTGTTTGTGAAACATTGAAACTTGTTTCTTTTCCTTCATTTCTTTATTTGTATTCCTTATTTTATGGTGATGTTTTTTTTTGATGAAATTTATGTTAATGTTTAGATTCATTTTTTGTTTTTATTGGAAGATCTCTCGAACAGTTTATTATGCTATTGATAATTTTTTTCCAGGTATTATACTTCTTAGCAAAAGAAAATGTAACATCTTTTGGACAACAAGTTGAACTTTGGATTTGTCATTCAAATCAATTATTAGATGAAATTTGGATTTATTAATATTTAGTAATGAAGCTTATTTTGGTTATTACTACTGGCTGATTATTATATTTGTTACATATGAATGTAAAGACTTTACATATAAAGACTTTTACTAGAAATTTGGATTTATAACTTTGGATTTGTTACTACTTGGTGATTATTATCAAGTTTATAAAAGACTTTCATTAGAAATTTGAATGCTTTTGAAGTGTATTTTTTTATTTGACATCAAATTGGAATTATATCTTTGAATTGCTCTATTACATATAATAGAGCAATACCAACGGTCTATGAAACGTTGCTATAGCAACAAGCTAAATATTATTAGTTCAGGTCTATACAAATGGTAAACGTAATTACTAATGCACACTACTTTGTTGGTATAAGTTTAAGAGCTATTCCAACGATACGAAAAGATGTTGGTGTTGATCTATACCTACGAAACGTATACTAACAATGAAAATTTTGTCGGAGTAGCATGTAATTTTGTTGGTATATCCAAATGACATCTACACCAACGGTTTATGTATTTATACCAACGGTATTTCTACCGTTGGTAAGTGGCAGTTTGTTTGTAGTGGGATATACTACATGTTGCATCTGTCCCTTATAATTTTCTATCTTTCTACTTTAAATATCCCTCTATTATTGTGCCATACCATATTTGATAACATTTGTGTAACTCTAATTCATCCTTACTTTATTCTCACTTTATATATCAACTCGTTATCAACCACATAATTCTATTTTTCTTAAAAACTACGTACATCAATCGCTTTCGTCTTAATATTGGGAGGACGAAGGTAGTACCAAAAATGCTATTTTAGAGATGTCGACTTACACGTTCATTTATATGCTAAGCTGAGTGTATTTTGTTTGTGCACGGATAATTAATTTTTTATTTTGATAAAGGAAGCTATTATAACAATGAAAACATGAATTGTTTGTGTATAATAAAAAAACATTCAACATGTAAACATAGCGTGCAAACTATTGTATACAACAAGCATCATTTTCCACTTGATTTTCTGATGGAGTGGAACCGAAAGTCTCTATCTATTTTTTAACTCGGACCCCTCTCATCGAAAATAGGTAGGGTTAGTTGTACCACTTGTACCGTTGTACATATAGTAGTAATTTTTTTTTTTGAATACTGTGAATAGCTAGGGCATAGGGGATAAAAAACCATAATTCCATTTATAGGGGAGTGCCAAAAATGGGAAATTAATAGGGAAATTTCCAAGGATATGACTAAAACTCAATGAGTTTCCTAATCTATACCTATGATCTAACAAGTTTTTGAACTTTTGTATGACCAACAATCCTAAAAAATAGAAAATTTCGTTTATACTTAAATGCTTAATGACAAAAATACTCTTATTTAAAACATGTGGATTTTGCACTATTTAAGAATAGAAGTTATGCATTGAGTATATATTAATGGTTAAAGTTATGCATTGACAAATATGAAAAGTGAACTTTGACACTTATTTAAGAATAGAAGAAGTATTACGGAGTTGTCAATTTATCATGAATAACATATACAAGATATCCATTAAAAAGACAATTTAGCCCAATATACGTGATAGCACTAGTGATGTGAATTGAAAATTTCACTAAATTCTTAATATTCCGTATATTTTTGAAAACGGGATAAAATTGAATCAAACTAATTAAAAAATCAATAGATTTTTATTGCATTTTAAAATGTAACAAATTCAAACCGTATCAAACTGAAGTGTAGTATAATTTTTCTTAGGTCACGGACAGAGACACAATCGCATCCACCGTTATACCGTTTTCTTTTTTAATCACGGAGGAAATTCACAATGAAAGTAACGGCGGCGCATCAGATCACAACCAATATCGGTGTGATAAGACCATTGAGTGTTTATTGGGTTCCTTGGATTATATTTAAATCAATTAATTTGCAGTGTATCTATTTTTAATGAATATGTTGTATTTGTTATTCATGATAAATTGACAACTGTGTAATACTTCTCTCGTTCTGAAATAAGTGTCAAATTCACATTTCATATATTTCAATGCATAACTTTGACCATTAATATATACTTAATTCGTCCCTGAATTATCTTCCAAAGTTGGTTTTGCACGGGAATGAAGAAAGGGAAAATTGTGTAGTGAAGACTTGTACTGAAAAGAGAGAAACGTGTAACATCGTGTAAAACATTTAATGAACCACAAATTCTTTGAAAAAAAGATTATTTTGAGACTAACGAAAAAGAAATTTGAAAATTAATTCAGGCACGGGGCATGTCTAGTTCTATAATAATAAAAATAAAAAGGTTGAAAATTTACAATGAGACTAATTTAAAAAATATTTTTAAAAATAACAACTTATTAATACATTAATAAATAAAGTGAAGTTAAAGTAGAGCATGTGAATATTGTAAAATTCAACATGTAGCATTTATTTAAAAAGAGAAGAAATATGTCATGATTTTAGGACCAAAATATTCTAAATTTATTTCATTAATAGAGCACAACTTGAAACTAAAAGAAAAAATATAAAAGATAGTGTCAGATTAAAATTGTGCTCCATACGCTCATAACAAGCAACAAAGAAATTGTTTTAAAAAAATACAACAACAAAGGAACAACTTCAGTTTGCTTCACCGTTAATAAGGGGGTATAATTGCCCTCCTTTCACCGTTTTTTAAGCTTTTTGCACACAAAAATAGTTTAAGGGCTTAGATGCCCTTTGGTGCCAACTTGAAGGGGTTTTTTGCAGATATACTCCTCCAGCTTCTACAGAACCAGAAAGTGAGCAATCACAGGCCCAATCGATGTAGCCATAGTGCAGTAGAATGAATTTTAAGCAAAAGGGGAATACAAAGTTGAAAGGAAATTGGAATAAAAAATTGAAAATTGAAAATGGGAGCGTAGAATGTGTTACCTGCAGTAAAACTCACGCGTCTGAACTCTAATCAATTCGGAACACGTAGGGAAGATGAGCGTGACAAAGAGCAAGTCGATGAGGGGAAGATGTGAGCGACTAAGCGTAAATCTTTGTTGATCGTGCGGCTGAAATGCGTCCGACTCTTGAGCGGGAAAAATGTTATTCTCCAAAGTAGTGCAATTATGTAGGATGATGATTTTAGCACATTTTATGTAAAAATAATTATATAAATATGACCAAAATAAAGATGATTTACAAAAAAATGATTCATTACTAGAGTAGTAATCAAATCATAGTAATTCATGTTCAATTTTATTGCGTTTATTTTAGCACATTTTATGTAGAAATAATTATATAAATATGACCAAAATAAAGATGATTTACAAAAATATGATTCATTACTAGAGTAGTAATCAAATCATAATAATTCATGTTCAAGTTTTGAACTTTAGTTACCACAGCATTACGTTGTAGTAATGAATAGTCATATTTATGTAAATAAGTTTTATTTTAGTAATATTCTCATAAAAAACTCTTTTATTTACACAATTGACTCATGATTATTTAGAAGGTAGTAGGGCTGCACATCGGGCGAGTTGGGTTGGGTTTGCTATCTTTTTTGGGCCTACCCGATTTGTTCGGGTTGGGTATTAACCACCCCGCGATACACAAAATAAGTTCGTAAACCATGCACGAACGGGTCGGGTAGGGTTGGGTATTGGAAAAAAAGATCACTACGGATTGCATCTTTCATGTGAGAAATTAATGTAACTAATTTAAGACTCGATTAACTTGTTTCCAAAACACACAAACAAATACAAGTACACATATCTTTTATAAGAAAAAAATTAGGTAATAGCATTAAAATATCCTTCCGTGAAGGAAGTTTATTTGGAAGAAAACATAAATACATAATAATCACCTAGTTAAAATCATATATGTTTAATTATAATTCTAATATTATAAGTCCTAGATAGAACATATTGGTATTAAATTGAAATTATCCAAGAAAATATTGTAGCATAGTAATAGTAAAATGAACTTTGGCTGGGTCGGGTACTATCGGGTTTAAGATTTTAATTCCACAACCCCACCCATTAGGTGCGGGTTCAAACATATTTAACCGATGAATATTTTTTAAAATCAAATACTCGATTAAATAGGGTTGGGTCGGATGGGTTATACGGGTTCGGGTTATTCTTGTGCAGCCCTAGAAGGTAGCCACTTTTAATGGAAGAATGAGATGAATAAATGTATTTATTGAATTGCCCTCATGATGAGTTTTTTAAAAAATAGCATGAAAGTAGAGATATAGCTAGTAAAAAATAGGAACTATTTTCTCAACTATTAATAATATTAATTTGGAAATTTATAAAGATGTTTCTATATCTTCCGAAAATTGAGAATTTAGTTGTGATTAAAAAATAAAATAAAAAAGGATAACTATAGTTGAGATTATTTAAAGCTTACACAATACTAAAAAAGAAGCAAGAACTCAGATTGAAACTCATTTTTTTTAAAGAAACTCATATTGAAACTCAAATTTAACTAGAGCAGTGAAACTCCATTTTTCCTAAATCTGAATTACTCCTATTAAGTACTCCCTCCGTCCCTTAAAACTTTGCCAACTTTCCTTTTTTGGATGTCCCACTAACTTTGTCACTTTTATTTTTAGGTAAATAATTTGGGGTTCCAGTTAATTCTCTCTCCTCTGCACAAATATCAACCACACAATTTTTACTTTATTAATCCCCATGTTGATCAAAGTTGACAAAGTTTTAAGGGAGAGAGATAATATTAATCCAAGCTAAACTCAAGCTCCACTGCTATTTTGTGATATCATCTTGTCACGCCCCGGACCGCGTCCGTGCCACGTAGACAACCGCCGTACAACCCAATAAGAACAAC